TCCTCCTTTCTTTTCGGAAAAGGGCTTCCTCTGGGTTGTTGTGAGTTTTCTGGGTTGTATGGCCATGTTCCAGAAGCACTCTCTCCTGACGTTTCGCCTGCACCTATGGCAGACATCCTCAGAGGTTGTGAGGCCTGTTGGAAACTAGGAAAATTGGGTTTATATATCTGTGGAGTAATGTCCAGGGTGGGAGAAAGGACTGTTGTCTGTTTGAGGCAAGTGTGGATTTTGCAATTTATTTTTTGCATTTCTTTTCCATCCCTTCTTCCCCAGAAAGAGAGGAAAAACAACAACCGACAAAGTTTTCCAAAGGCACACGACAGGTGAATGAAATCACACCAAATTTGGCAACAAAACGTCTCACAACACAAGGAGTGACCATCACTCAAAAAATTATGATTTTGTCAATTTGGAGTTGTAGTTGCTGCGATTTATAGTTCACCTATAATCAAAGAGTATTCTGAACTCCATCAACGATGGAATTGAACCAAACTTGGCACAAAGAACTCCCATGACCAACAGGAAATACTGAAGGTGTTTGGTAGGCATTGACTTTGAGTTTTGGAGTTGTAGTTCACCTATCTCTGGAGAGCACTGAGGACTCAGACAATGATGGATCTGGAGCAAACTTGGCATGTATACTCAATATGCCCAAAAGTGAACACTGGTGGAGTTTGGGGAAAATAGGCCTTGACATTTGGGAGTCCCATGACCGACAGAAAATACTGGAAAGGTTTGGTGGGCATTGACCTTGAGTTTGGGAGTTGTAGTTCACCTACATCCAGAGAGCACTGTGGAGTCAAACCATGATGGATCCGGACCAAACTTGGCACAAGCACTCAATACACCCATTCCCACTGGTAGAGTTTAGGGAAACTAGACATTGACATTTGGGAGTTGTATGTTGCTGGGATTTATGGTTCACCTACAATCAAAGAGCATTCTGAACCCCAGAACAAGAGAATGGGGCAAACTTCCCACACAGGCCATCCAGTCCAACTCCCTTCACTGGGTCAAGAAAACATAATCAAAGCCCTCCTGACAAAGAGCCATCCAGCCATAGAGATGGATGGATAGATGGATGGATGGATGGATGGATGGATGGATGGATGGATGGATGGATGGATGGATGGATGGATGGATAGATGGATAGATGGATAGATGGATAGATGGATAGATAGGTAGATTAGATATGATTCACACACAGAGAGATATAGTATCATAGATTTGAAAGGGACCCCTAAAGAAGGACAATGATATGTTGTATGTTCCAGAGTAGGCAAACCAGACACTCTCCACATCAACACTGACAAAGAAACAGCAAGAAATACTGTTTACCCACAAGCATAAAGACATTTCATATATTAGAAACCAACACTTTCTCATTACTTTATTTTCTAGTTCATGAGACTGGGCCACAGCAACGCGTGGCAGGGGATAGCTAGGAATAGATAAATATAAATAAAGTAACAATAGGGAAACGCTGCTTCCCAAAACTGACTTCTCACTTTTCCTTGCTTATATTATTCCTCCCTCCTTCCACCTCTCTTAAAGCAACCCTAAAAGAAAGAGAAGGTGTTGTGAGTCCTTTAGAGGGGCCTTAAGAGAAGAGGGGATGCTCAGATTCAGAGCAAAGTTGGCAAGGTTTTGGACCCTGAAAGCGTTGAAGGGTGGGCTGACCCATAGAAGGGGGGGTCACAAGGGGGGGTGTCAGAGGGGTCACCAAAGAACATCAGAAAACACAGTATTTTCTGTTAGTCATGGGGTTTCTGTATGGGAAGTTTGGCCCAATTCTATCATTGGTGGGGTTCAGAATGCTCTATGATTGGAGGTGAACTATAAATCCCAGCAACTACAACTCCCAAATGTCAAGGTCTATTTTCCCCAAACTCCACCAATGCTCACATTTGAGCATATTGAGTATTCGTGCCAAGTTTGGTCCAAATCCATTGTTGGTGGGATTCAGAATGCTCTTTGATTGGAGGTGAACTATAAATCCCAGAAACTACAACTCCCAAATGTCAAACTCTATTTTCCCCAAACTCCACCACTGCTCATATTTGAGCATATTGAGTATTTGTGCCAAGTTTGGTCCAAATCCATTGTTGGTGGGGTTCAGTATGCTCTTTGATTGGAGGTGAACTATAAATCCCAGCAACTACAACTCCCAAATGTCAAGGTCTATTTTCCCCAAACTCCACCAATGCTCACATTTGAGCATATTGAGTATTCGTGCCAAGTTTGGTCCAAATCCATTATTGGTGGGATTCAGAATGCTCTTTGATAGGAGGTTAACTACAAATCCCAGCAACTACAGCTCCAAATGTCAAGGTCTATTTCCCTCAAACTCCACCAGTGTTCACATTTGAACATATTGAGTGTGCCAAGTTTAGTCCAGATCCATCATTATTTGAGTCCACAGTGCTCTCTGGATGTAGATGAACTACAACTCCCAAAACTCAAGGTCAATGCCTACCAAACCCTTCCAAGTATTTAGTATTGGTCATGGGAGTTCTGTGTGCCAAGTTTGGTTCGATTCCATCGTTGGTGGAGTTCAGAATGCTCTTTGATTGTAGGTGAACTATAAATCCCAGCAACTACAACTCCCAAATGACAAAACCAATCCCCCCAACAACACCAGTATTCAGATTTGGGCGTATATTTGTGCCAAATTTGGTCCAGAGAATGGAAATACACCCTGCATATCAGATATTTACATGACAGTAGCAAAATAACAAAAAATAATGTTATGGTTAGGGGTCACCACAACATGAGGAACTGTATTAAGGGGTCGCAGCATTAGGAAGGTTGAGAAACAC